GATCGGTCGTTCCCGATCGTTACCGAAACTTTTCGGTAACGCATGATCTGGGGCATTCCTATCAGCGCCCCGGGGGCGGTCTCGCTGTTGAGGCGGAAGATACGGCCGAAATTGCGCCCCTTTCTGGCAGCATAATCGCGGCGACAGTCGGGAATGCCGCAGAGGGCGCGCCCGCGCTCGGAGACCGGCCTGCTCCCGAAAGGAGGTCCACGACGCCTCCCCGAGCGGATGATGGAGGATATCCCGAGCCTCTTCGCAGCATAGAGAGTCCGGAGGTCACACTGGAACGCGCGGCCTTCAGCTGCAGTAGTCCCTTGGGAGAGCTACAAACCGAACAGGTGGTCGGCAGCCACAGCGCGCCGGCGCCTTCCCGTCCAGGAGACAACCAAGCCGGCGCCCCCACAGCCCCTCACTCCTATCAGCGTCCTGGGGGCGGTCTCGTTGTTGAGGCGGAAGATGCGGCCGAAATTGCGCGCCCCCCTGGCAACAGTATCGGGGCGACAGGTGGGAGTGCTGCTGAGGAACCGCGGTCGGAGACCAGCCTCCCCCCGAGAAGACGTCCACGACGCCCCCCCGAGCGCATGGTGGAGGACATCTCGAGCCTCCTCGCAACATCGAGGGTCAGGAGTTCACGCTGGAACGCGCGGCCTTCAGCTGTAGTAGTCCCCTGGGAGTGCTACGGCCCGAACAGTTGGTTGTCAGCCACAGCGCGCCGGCGCCTTCCCCTCCAAGAAATGACCAAGCAGGCTCTCCCACAGCCCCTCACTCCTATCAGCGTCCCGGGGGCGGTCTCGTTGTTGAGGCGGAAGATGCGGCCGAAATTGCGCGCCCCCCTGGCAACAGCATCGCGGCGACAGTCGGGAATGCCGCAGAGGGCGCGCCCGCGCTCGGAGACCGGCCTGCTCCCGAAAGGAGGTCCACGACGCCTCCCCGAGTGGATGATGGAGGATATCTCGAGCCTCCTCGCAGCATAGAGAGGCAGGAGTTCACGCTGGAACGCGCGGCCTTCAGCTGCAATAGTCCCCTGGGAGAGCCACAAACCGAACAGGCGGTCGTCAGCCACGGCGCGCCGGTGCCTTCCCGTCCAGGAGACAACCAAGCAGGCGTTCCCACAGCCCCTCACTCCTATCAGCGTCCCGGGGGCGGTCTCGTTGTTGAGGCGGAAGACGCAGCCGAAATTGCGCGCCCCCCTGGCAACAGCATCGCGGCGACAGTCGGGAATGCCGCAGAGGGCGCGCCTGCGCTCGGAGACCAGCCTCCTCCCGAGAGGAGGTCCACGACGCCTCCCCGAGCGGATGGTGGAGGATATCTCGAGCCCCCTCGCAGCGCACGGCGCGCCAGTGCCTCCCCCTCCAGGAGACAACCAAGCAGGCGTTCCTGCAACCCCTCACTCCTATCAGCGTCCCGGGGGCGGTCTCGTTGTTGAGGCGGAAGATGCAGCCGAAATTGCGCGCCCCCCTGGCAACAGCATCGCGGCGTCAGTCGGGAATGCCGCAGAGGGCGCGCCTGCGCTCGGAGACCGGCCTCCTCCCGAGAGGAGGTCCACGACGCTTCCCCGAGCGGATGGTGGAGGATATCTCGAGCCTCCTCGCAGCATAGAGAGTCAGGAATTCACACTGGAACGCGCGGCCTTCAGCTGCAGTAGCCCCCATGGGAGTGCTACAGACCGAACAGGCGGTCGTCAGCCACAGCGCGCCGGTGCCTTCCCCTCCAGGAGACAACCGCGCAGGCGCTCATACAACCCCTCACTCAAATCAGCGTCCCGGGGGCGGTCTCGTTGTTGAGGCGGAAGATGCGGCCGAAATTGCGCCCCCTTACTCCTACCAGCGCCCTGGGAGCAGAGTCTTCGCGGACGCCGAACATGCGCCCGAAATGGCGCACTCTCCTGGCAACGACGTCGCGACGGCAGTTCGGAATGCTTCGGACGGCGCTGCGGAAATCGGATACATTCCGCGCGCAACAGACAGCCAGGAGGTCGTAAATCCAAGCGCGGCCGTCAGTTGTTACAGTTCTCGCGTCGCGGGGGTGCGCGAAAGCGTGACTGACAGCGGCCCTGGGCGCTCGCGATTGGAGGTTTCGCTTGACTCCTGGAGAGGGCCAATCAATGCGCAGGCGGCCTTGCGGCGCGCAGACCTGCGCTTTCTGCGCAGAGGGCCACGCAGTGTGCAGGCGGCCTTCCGGCGCGCAAACCCGCGAGCATGCGCTTTCCGCGCAGAGGGCCACACAGCGTGCAGGCGGCCTTCCGGCGCGCAAACCTGCGACCATGCGCTTTCCGCGCAGAGGGCCAAACAGTGTGCAGGCGGCCTTGCGGCGCGCAAACCTGCGCTTTCCGCGCAGAGGGCCACGCAGTGTGCAGGCGGCCTTCCGGCGCGCAAACCTGCGACCACGCGCTTTCCGCGCAGAGGGCAAACACCCAAGCGACGCGAATGCACGCCGCCAACAACAATCCTCAGGGCGACCACTGGACCGAGCACACCTGCCCTAGGTCGCCCCTCTCTCTGAGCCCCGAACGTCTCTCTGGTGATCGCCTCCGAGGAGAGCCGCCAGACGGACCTCGCAGCAGCGCCGAGCGGACAGACAGACAGACAGACGGACAGACAGACAAACAGACGGACGGACGGACGGACAGGCGGACAGACAGACGACAGGGCGGACAGACAGACCGACCGACCGACCGACGCCCCCCCACAGCGAAGCGCGGGAAAAACAACAATCGCTGGAGCCACAGGACATCCCCCGAGGAGCCAAGCTCGGGAGCTCCCAGTAGGGAGCGCTCGCTGCCGCGAGCTTGCTGCATTGAGAAACAGAGGCCATGATGCCAAGAGGCATGGGGTCCGTGTGCTCCTCGAATTTCACTGCCCCCCAAATCGCTGCGCGATTTAGGGGCGACGCGGAAGCAGCTGGAGCAGTTTGCTGCGCGCACGAAGCGGCGCAGGAGGGAAGCGACGGCCCTCGCCACGGAGCTCGGCTTCACCGAGCTCATCCGCGAGGCCTGACCTGAGGAGCGTCTCCCCCGAGCTGCGCCTTCTCTCGACTGCCCGACTAATTGTTTGGCCTTGCGCCGCGGACGACCCGCGCGCGTCGCTGGGACCCTCTCGGGGCGACCAGCGCGCGTCGCGGGAACTCCGTGCTGCGGGGGGCCCGGCGCCTCGTTCGCCCGTCGTCGCTCTGCCCAGCGGTCAGAGACTTGCCCGCTATCAGCCAGC